TGATCTCTCTGGCTCTGCCCCCCAGCTCCGACACCTGGCCCCACTGGGTCATGTTCAGTGCCTGCTTACACCAGCGTCCTTGGCATGTAAGTGAGGCCCCCGCACCTTCCCAGAGCCAGGGAGAGAACCCAGGCGTCCTGGCTGTCCCCCTGCTCTAACCCCTAGGTCCCACTCCTCTCCCGGAGCCATGAGAGCACCAAGGCGTCCTGGCTGTCCCCCCTGCTCTAACCCCTAGGTCCCACTCCTCTCCCAGTAGTAAGAGAAGAGCCCTGTGTCCTGGCTCCCAACTCACTGGGCTGAGATGGCCCTGGCGAGCGCGTCTCTCTCTCCCCGCAGTGCCACGAGGCCGTGGCGGGGGCTTTTGCGTCGGGCGGCTGGCCGAGCTGGAGAAGGATTTCCGCTCCTGTGGGCCCCTGGCGGAGGCCGGTGACCGTGAGGAGCTGGCCGGCAACCTGGCCGACATCTTCATGGGCGCGGTGCAGTACAACGACGAGGGCTTCGCAGGGGGCACTGTGGCCAAGCTATGCCGCATCATGACCGACGTGGGCCTGGGCTCCCCCTATCAGAGACTCCTCGCCGTCAATAACGTAAGGCTGGGAGGGGCCCGGATCCAGCCTAGCTGAGACCCAGCACGCTCGCTGCACATGCAGCCAGTGAATGGCCTTGCTGAACTGGGGTGTAGTTCATCTGGCCTCTAGGGCCCAGGCTCCCTGTTCAGACTACATCTCCCATGATGCATCACAGTCTCGGGCCCAAGAGGTGGGGGCTGCAGTGCATCATGGGAAATGGAGTAGGATGGGGAAACCCACCCAGCCATTGAAGGCACAAGAGGAACTAGAACTACATCCCCCATGATGCACCACAATAGGGTTGCCTCATGGGAGTGGCTTCAATACATCATGGGAGTTGAGGTCCAGCTGGGAGGCCCCATCCATAGGGAATGGAGCACTGGAAATACATCTCCCATGATGCACTGCATGGGGGGGTGGTTTCCTGTGGGGCTGAGGGCACCCCCTCCTGGTGATTGGCTGTAACAGCAGGGTTAGGGCTGCGGGGGCTGGCCGGGCGGGGGCCGAGGGGCACCAGCTGGCCTTACCGCGTGTCTCCTGCCGTGGCAGGGGTTCCTGGAGAGCATGGCGCTGCCCCG